CGAACTAATCATCCACATAGTATATAAAGCTAAAGTGTATCACTTAGTGATCATTCGACCCGCAGTACTCGGTTCGGCTTCAATTATCAGTTTCCGAGGTAATAGGTATAAAATATTTATTTATTTAAAAGTGTTTCTGTTGTTTAAAATTAGTTCTGTGACATTCGTAATTTATTTTCGATTTGAAATATTTTAAGTTTATTTTAATATACTAAGAGGATATATATGTAAAGAGGATGTAATAATCATTTATTATTTACATGTGAATGAAAATTATTTCTACGATAACGGTTCTGTCAAAATATTATATACTAGCTGGCCAGGCAGACGTTGTTCTTCTCTTTCCGACGACCCTTCCTATAAAAAATCCTTAAATTCTCAATAAAAAATATTGAAGGTCACTTATCGGGATAAAAAGTTTCCTATCTCTCAAGTTGGACCAAACTGCACACAGTGTGCGAAATTTCATTGAAATCAGTTCAGTAGTTTAGGTGTTTATCGCGGACAAACAATGTGGACACGTCATTTTATATATGAAGATTAGATGTATAACACATTGTTCTGTGATAGCGGTGCCGTAAAGTGACCCCACCTCGTTTTGTCCCAAAAGTATATTTTTTAATTATACTTACTCATTTTTAAAAGGCCGGCAACGCGCCTACAATTCCCTTGGTGTTGCAGTTGTTCATGGGCGGCGATAGTCACTTAACATCAGGTGAACCGTATGTTCTTTTGCCCCTCTCCTATAAAAAAAAAAGTTATCTCTGGACATGTTTCTAAGTTTGTTCATATCATTTAATGCGTCATCGTTAGTATTTGGATCTTCTGTGAAAGAGATTATAGTAAAAAGCGAAAAAAAAAACGCATATTATAGAATGTTTCAGATTAACATTTTATTTTTTGAAGGAATAAATTTTAATGCTTTGATCTTTTCTTTAGAGCAGGGTTGCCCAACCTTTTTTTGATCAGGGACCACGTTGATTTCTTTGTCGTTAGAAGAGAAGGTGAAAGAAAAAACTATGTTACTTAATGTAACAATACATTTTAATCACAACTTTTAACATAATTAGGCAATTAACTGAAAAGAAGCATTCATTTACAGTATTATTTGTAAATAATAAAAGTATATTTTGTAAAAGAAATCATATACATGTTTGGTAAAAAATTGCGGTTTTGATTGTGACGCGACGTTCAGTGTTGCACTGCTCGCGTGACGAGAAAGTAATAAATGTGTTATTTAAAAGTATTGGGTAGGTAAAATATTTAAATATTTCGCGAACCATATTTAAGCTCTAGCGGACTACTGTTTGGGAATACCTGCCTTAGAGTCTTACGCCATAGTCAAATTTTATTAAAATATTATAACTGTAATTTCAACTATTACATATTTTTAAATTGTAGAATGTATTGGTCTAGCTGTTGTAAACGCGGATGCTGATCATAGCTCCCGGGTTTGAATCCCGGTCGGGACAAAATCAGTTATTGAGTTTTTCCATCAAGAAATTTTCAGTAGTTGCCCGGAGTTAGGAAGTGGCGGTGTCTCCCCCGTGCCTCGAAAAGCACGTAAAGACGTTGGTCCTGCGCCTGATTTCTCTCCGGTCGTGTCGGTTTACCGTCCCATCGGACTATGAGAGTGAGGGAATAGAGAGTGCACCTGTGCTTGCGCATACACTTGGGCACTATAATCCTGTCTTGCGCCGATGGCTGGTCTCCGTTGAGACTGGCCGCCGTGACCGGAATTTGGTCTGGAGAACATTGTTATTATAATATGTAGAGTTCTAATAAATTAGGATACTATATTACTAATATTGTAAATATAGGAGGGTTTGCAACCTTAGATCTAACGCTTTGTGATATGATTGGACTTGGTCTAGACAGTAAAGTCAGAGACATTGGGACAATCATAGTATAACCAGAGTCTAAAAACTACTTTTCTACCGACTTCAAAAAGGAGACGGTACTCAATTCGACTGTATGTTTTTTATGTATGTTACCTCATAACTTTTTACTGGGTGAACCGGTTTCGATGATTTGATTTTTTTATTTGAAAGCTGGTGCGTCTCATGTGGTCCCATATAAATTTCATCAAGGTCTGACCAATCGTTTTTGAGTTATTCTTAATAGTTTATATTGAAGTCGGTTGTACAAAATTTTTAATTTTAAATTATTTCTTGAACTTTTAACAACTAAGTAACAGACCACCCACTCTCTCTCTCTCTCTCTCTTTAATGACGGCTAATAATCTTATGCTCAATAGATGTCGCTAGTTGGGACCAAGGTGAACTTATTAGTTACGCAGTCATAATGACACTGTATTAAATTCAAAAGTTGAGATTGAATTAAAAAATTTTCGGTTTCTAGTATGTGAATAACTAGCTGACCCGTGCCCACTTTGTTGGGCGTCAAACATTTTAACTTGTGATGAAATTACCTTGTGTGGTTCTTAGTACCTACTGAACGTTTAAGATTTATTTTCGGAATTAATTGACAAATATAGTTATTTGACATTAAAAGTATTATTAATGACAATCAAATATAGCCTATGTCACTCAAGAATAATGTAGCTTTCTACTGGTGAAAGAATTTTAAAAATCGGTTCAGTAGTTCCAGAGATTACTTCCTACAAACAAACTCATGAACTTACAAACTTTACCCCTTTATAATATTAGTATAAACTAGCTGTTACCCGCGACTTCGCCCGCGTGTTATTTGGGGTGTTAATTTTTTTGCGCGGATCCCGAATTCTTTTCCTAAAATAAAAGTAACCTAAGTTACTCCTCGTGACATCAGCTATCTGCCAGTGAATATCCCGTCAAAGTCAGTACAGCTGTTTCGGAGATTGACCGGAACAAACGGACAAAAACTTTAAAAATTATATTTTTGTTACTAGTACCGTATATACTTTCATATGCATTTAGTAAAAAGCTGTAGATTAGACATTACAAACAGACACTTCAATTTTATTTATTTGTATAGATAGATATACACAAAACGATGCCTCAGTGTTGTATTTTTTAAACACTCTTTTTTTTAGTATTCTATTTTTAGGAATAATAATAATAGATACATACTTTGGTTTATCCGTTTCTAATCTAACAATATATTGTAACTTATGTTTCAGGAAAGAATATTAATCACTACACTTTTCTAACAAATTAATTTCCCTTGCTATGAAACCTGACAAATAAGTATTTTACGTCATTCTTGGCGCCATCCTAGTGGCAAAAAAGTCGTGGAGTTATTATAGGGAGGTTTTGCAATGATCATCACGCTCGACAGTCAGACCGCTCTCCGTCACCGGTCTTGGTATTAAATCTGGTTTATACGAGATAGTTTAACCACCATCCATATGAGCAAGTAAAAGTAAATGTTATCACATATCGACGTAATTATCGAGTGCTCTCGTGATGATGCTGTCAAAAACTTGATCATTTATTAAGGTTAAATCTCTATATAGATAATTAAGCTTATGCAAATTGATAAGATCACGAATTTTATTTAGAAGTAATACTATAGCTATTTTAATACAATGTTTTGTTGAAACAAAATCAATTAGCACATTGACTATCATGTCCCGTTGGTCTAGTGGTCGTAAACGCGGTAACTGATCATGAGGAACTGGTTTCGAATCTTTGATAATTATGTATTGGGCATTACTGTCAAGAAAGGTCAGAGAGTCAGGAGTCAGAAAGGTGGCGGTATTTCACCCCCGTGCTTCGAAAAGCATGTAAAGCCGTTGGTCCTGCGCCTGCTCTCTCTCCAGTCATGTCGGATAACCGTCCCACCGAACCGTCCCAGAGAGTGATGGAATAGAGAGTACACCTGTGCTTGCGCATACACTCGGGCACTATAATGTTGTCCTGCATAGATGACTGGCCGCAGTAATGCCGAATTCGAAAAAAAATCACAAATGCGACTCTGGAACATTCCAGAAATATCTACCTTCTAGTAAATAGTGGAATAATCATAACGTTAACGCCAGATTTTTAAAAAAAAACCTGGACCAGAGACTGCAAGAGACGAAGACCAACGTCTAAAGTACTGCGTCAATCCTCCCGCCAATAAAAAAAATATACTTACATTTTATTAATATTAGAGGAATACGGCAGACGGTTCCGTGGCTCAGTGGCAGTGCTAAGAGCCGCGGGTTCGAATCCCGCAAGGAACAAGTAAATTTATGTATGTAAACTGCCCCCACAATACAGGAGAAAATCCTAGTGTACAGGAGACGTTTTCTTTTAAATAAAAAAAAAATAAACACTTACCTTCTGATGCGCTGTTTATTACCACAAATTCGTTGTATAAAAAAACTTTAAATACTAAGATGGAAACACATACAGGCTGCAATTAGAGAGGCTGTCTCTCGTAGTTGTAGGTACACAGGAATTAACGCACGGCTGCCTGCAGATAGGTAAAGGAAACATTATCCAGACTCCCAGGCTAAGAGTAGTTATACCGTCTTTAAAACACCTTTTATCCATTATCTATTAAAGTCATTTAATTTTAATTGTTACAGATTACTTGAAACGAAAATAAGGAAGCAAAATGAAGGTAAACAACGTTATGTTAAATTTGACCTGCGCAAAGTTTATAAACTTTATTAAACTAAGTTTGTATAAAAAGGGTTATTAAAATATTAAGGAATTTATTTGGAGATAATAACCCCTGGGAATGAGGTGATCGCTACCAGGCTATTTCTAATTTGTTGTGTTGTTAATAGTGTAACATTACATGATTGTAAGCTGTTATTGAAACAAAAGTCCCGCTGGGTTTCTTGCTGGTTCTTCCCAGAACAGAGGTTTTTTCCGAACCAGTGGTAATTTAAACATAAGAGTGACTTTCAATAAGTATTATTTATAAACTACATTAAATAACTTTCTGTTTCTGTTTCTATGACGTAGGTAACTTCGGCTTTTTGCTAAGCCTTTTTATTTTTAATAACACATTCTAAACTTGGATTACAGATTATATCAACATTTGTGTTACTCTTCGTATCAACGTTGGCGGAACCGCCGATTGACAACCGGTGAGACAACTCTATACTTTTTTTATTTTTTATTATAGCGACTAACGAATTTACTGTTCACTTAAAGGTTTTCGTAAACTGTCTAATTTTGTGGTAGTTTCTAGCTATTATTATACAGTCGTCAAGATGCTGTTTAAATCCCGAACCAACAGTCTAATCTATAGCATCAATGTTGCTTCATCACCATCACCATCACCATCATCATTATTACAAAAATAGGCCTCCCTCAAGGAATGCCACAAAGCACGGTCCTGACCCACCTGTATCCATTGGCTTCCTGCATATCTTACCAGGTCGTCACTCCATCTAGTGGCAGGCCGCCCTACACTTCGCCTGCCGGTACGAGGCTGCCACTCGAAAATCTTTCTTCCCCATCGGTTGTCGATTGTTCGAGCTATACCACGATGTTAATGTTGTTGTCAATGTTGCTTCGCGTTTATGAATTCAATTGCTCAGCGACACACAGGTGACGCAACGTTGCCGAAATAATTAACTTTCGTTACGTTTGTTTCATACGTGGTAGAGGGAAGCTGCAGCTATATAGTTATAGCACGAATGGGTATGCTCGACTGAGTGGAAGAAGAAATGACATCTTAATGCTTCGTATGGTGAGTGTAGAGAATCGGGAATCCTTTATACTGGAAACGAGGCGTTTCATATTATTCCTCACGGGTGACAAAACATCTGCATTTTAATTCCTAAACGAGGATAAATTTAGATGTGTATAGGCCACATTCATTTACCATCAAGTGGATTGTGTGCTCGTTTGTCATCTTATTCTATAAAAAATGACTTTGTAGTTCATTGCTGATTTTAATTTAAAATTATTTCTTTTAGGTATCTGCCACCACAACAAGGCTTCACAGGAGCGATTGCAGCCCCTTCACAATCTTACGGTGCCCCAGGTTCAGGGTTCGCTGGTCAACGGCAAACAGCTGCAATAATCAGGTAGATTTATTTTTATATATTAAGGGTTACAAACGAGCACACACTCCACTGATAGTAAGTAGCTGCTGTGGCTCGTAGACATCTACATCTATCCAAAATCAAGAATGAAAATGCAGATGTGTTGTCACTTACCATCAGGTGGACTGTGTGCTCGTTTGTTACCCTATGCTATAATATATATAATATACCTAGGCTCAAGGAAAATGGAACGCAGCGATAATATACATAGAAATAGAGCATACATTAGTCATAACAATTATACTTTTTGTTTGCAGAAGCCGTCCGTCTTCAACATACAGTTCACCGTTCAGTCAACGGTCCAACGTTCGACGCCCGTCTGCCCAATACGGCGCACCGTCATCCCAATACAATGCTCCGTCCCAATTGTATGGCGCCCCAGCATCTTCCCAAATGGGGAGGGGCAATAGCTTCAGCGGGTTCGGAGTTCAAAGCCCAGCAACACAATACGGGCCGCCTTCCAACGCACCTTCTCAGCAATATGGTGTACCTGATGTTAATAGTGGTAAGTTAAGTATCACCTCATATCGCCCCGTAGATTCCTTGTATAAAATTGACGAACGAACGGCTACTGCAGTCCATGGTCAGCTCCAGCCAACTTCCAACAATATATAATGAGGTACGTGAGGATAATATGGTCACCTTTAAGCTTTGTCGCCCTATAAAACCAAAACTAGGAGGAGGACGGAGGCCCCTGCGTCCCCTTTTACCTAAAGGGGGTCGCTTTCGATTCGGCAGAAAGGCCACACAAGCCAATGCCAGTCTCACAGGTGGTGTGTAGGGTAGGCACTTAAGTTTCGCAGTGAGTCCCACATAACCACGCAGCCGGCTGTCGTGGTATGATTAGAGCATTCACCACCTCCCTCCCTCGCTTCCCGGAGGGTAGCCCTTTTCATTGCTTCTGGGCGCAAAAAAAGGACAGAGACAAAAACACAAAGTCGTATAATATAACTAATATATTAAGAAAAAAAAATAGCAAACAAGCTTTGACAATAATTAGGAACACTAGAAAAATCAACTTAAAAAACTAACTACACTATACAATTCTAAAATCGATTAAAATATTTACAAAAATGTCAATTGTCAAAATGGCGTCGATAACGCAGTGCCCTTTTGAGCCTTTATTATTTGAATGACTAATGAAGAGCTATCGTATCATAGAGCCATCTATGCAAACAAGGCTGTAGTTTTTGAGTTATAAGGAAGTGACCAAATTAACCGGATGATTAGCCTCACGTACTATATTATTAAACAAGTTTGTTACCGCGTAGTGTCGATCTAAGAATATCCACTACCCCATATCATCCCGTGGGTGTCGTAAGAGGCGACAGAGGAAAACAAATCAGGAAACGGGCAACAGCATCTTCCTATTAATGTCTAAAAATAAAAAACTGCGGTTGCCAACCTGCTTGCCAAGCGTGGCCACTATGGCAAACATCCCCCTGTGAAGCAAGATCTATTGTCACCTCTGACGACAAGGATAAAATGCCTCGCTTCCAGTAAAAAGAATAATTAACAAATACAAAACTTTTAAAAAACTAATTTCTGAATGATTAAATATTTTAAACATTTAAAGGTTTCGGATCGGCACAGAACACATTCGAAGGCGCACAGAGCAGGCAATACCTGCCTCCTGGCAGGAGAGGTTACGCTGGAGATGATGGAAACAATGGTGTAAGTATGCCTAAGCAAAAAAGCACTGAACTCACGTGAATTCACGCTCAGATACTTTATGTATAGATATATTGATGACGGTAATATTGAAAATCCAATTCATTACATTTTATAAAATTGATATGTGTTTATATTATATAGATAATAATCATTCTTTCTCATGTAAAATAGCGCAATAAATGAAAATTTGATTACTATATTAATACGTTGATAAAAATAATTTCTAATAAAATCTTTTACGTGGTAGAGCCATGCTGCAGCTATATTAGTAGTATAGTTGTAGCACAAATGGGTCGGCTCGACCGGGGATGGACCACACTCTCGCAAAATACCAGCGTAAAATAGCAGCTTAACACTGCTGTGTTTCGTATGGTGAATGTAGAGAACCGCAGACACGTTTTAATGGAAAAGAAGCATTTGGGTTATTACTCGTATATGTTTCGCCCTAACATACGCTTACTAAGGATTATATTATTGTTTGTACGGATCGAAAGTCCACCTAAAACAGTTAATACACTTGTCTCTTTTCCTATCTAATAGCATAATCCACATCCACTGCAGAACAGAGGCGTAGGTTACTCCATCCAGTAGTGGGCCTCCCTTCCTCGAGGACCTTCGCATTTGTTGCCAAAGAGAGCTAATAATTTTACGCTCACCAGATGTCGCTAGTTGGAAGTTAGATGTACTTATTTGTTACACAATGTCATTTTAATTGAGAAATTGCATTTTAAATAATAGTTGATCAGTTTCTAGTGTGTAAATACAAAAAACAGTGACTCGGTGGTTTGCTCTTTAATGTTTAGCGCTCTTTTTTTTCTACTTGTAGGCATATCTGTCGTTTGGTACAGCCATTTCTAATACAATTAATATGGTATAAAACTAATATTTTTGAAAGAATTATCAACCCTTACATTTACATTTTTCGAAAAAATTTACTTCCCCCGTTCTAAAATCTGTTAAATATTTGACGCTATTTTTAAGTGGCGCCGCCCTGGTGGCAGGAAAAGTGAATGCCCTCATTCTTTGAGCTACGTGGATTACGTTAATTATCACTTCAGCGTACTGATCCGTTGCGCTATGTAGGTTACTATGGTTCTGCTAGCTAGTTGTAAGTTACTACTTACTAGCTACAACTACCGTTGTAGCTACTAGTCCATCGAGCTATAGTTATTAAGAATCCATTAACACAGCTTACTGATCAGGCTATGATGTCTGATTTCATTATGGATTTCGCCTCGAATTCTATCACACATAGAATTTTAGTATACTTATAATTTTTGTCATGTTTTTTATAGAACAAGGGCGACAAACGAACACGCAGTCCACCTGAAGGTAAGTGGATACTGTGGCCCATAGACATCTACATCTATACTCGATTATGAATCAAATTGCAGGTGTGTTGTCACCGCTGTGGACTAGGATGGAATGCCTCTTTTCCAGTAAAAAGGATCTCCGGTTCTCTACACTCACCATACGAAACACAGCAGCGTTAAGCTGCTATTTTACGCTGGTATTTTGTGAGAGCGCGGTCCTACCCCGGTCGAGCCGATCCATACGTGCTACACCTAATACGGCTGCAGCATGGCTCTACCATGTAGAAAAAAATCCGAAAAAATCTGTCTTTATCTTTAATTTATAGGAACCTGCAAACTACAATTTCGAGTACATGGTGAAAGATGATGCTTCAGGCAACGACTTCGGTCATCGCGAGTCCAGACAAGGTGATAGAGCTGAAGGACTTTACTATGTTCTGCTACCCGATGGCAGAAAGCAGGTGAGATAATTGTAAATTATAATTTATATAATAATTTATTATTTTTTGTGGCAGCTTTGTAATAACATCCATCCTTACTTTACCTATGTTGGCATATTTTAATAATATATGTCCTCCAGACCGAATTTCGGTCACGGCGGCCAGCCTCAGCGGAGACTAGCCATCATAGTGCACGAGTGTATGCGCAAGCGCAGATGCACTACCTATTCCCTCACTCTCATAGTCCCATGGGACGGTTAACTGACACGACCGGAGAAAACTCAGGTCAGGCGTAGGACCAACGTAAAGGCATAACTATAAGTCGGTTGTAGACTGCGAAATACATATTTAGATATTTTTCACCTGCCAGTTGGCTGCCAGAGAATGTCACGTGGCATTAAACCGTCCTATGTATCCTTAGATTTAGATGTTACATTTAAATTTTACTTATAATAAATAAATAAAATAAATCGTGTAAATAGTGGCAGTGTAAAAATATCAACTACCACGTATCATGCCGTGGGTGTCGTAAGAGGCAACAGAAGGAAGCTGAACCAGGAGATGGGCAGCACATCTTCTTGATCATAGCTGAATAAAAAAAAATTGCCGTTGTCGACGCGGCTGTCAAGCGTGGACACTGTGGCAAATATCCCTCTATGAGGCGATCTATTCAGAAGGCATATGTTCAGCTGTGGCCTTTGGTAGGATGTATCTAAAATAAATAACTAACTGTGTTAAACGTTATTAGAAATAGTAACTATTGTCCGGGATCAGCGTGTCAGCAGATGTGAATGAAAAGTTACTCCAGCCAAACTTGATTACAACTGAAAAGATTTTCGAATTAAAGAAACCATATCCAGTATGGTGTTGATACTTGCTGCAGACTAGTAACGAATGGAACTAGTGAGGGCCTGATGAAGGATGCCAAGAGTCGATAGCTGCAAGTGGCGCAGAAGTGTACTTCGTAGTTATCAGGGCAGGCCTATGTACGGGTGTTGATTTGTTATGGTCTGTGTTCATGATGATGATAATCATAATGATAATGATGATGATGATGATGATGACGACGATAAACAACGCAACCTTTTCCTATTAAATTTAATTTCATATCCAATGCAACGTCTAAAAATACAAAGAAATAAAACCCAATTAAATGTTTCGAATACTGTTATTAATAACTGATATATTTTCCAGACGGTGGAATATGAAGCCGATCAAGATGGGTACAAACCAAGAATTTCGTATGAAGATACCGGATTAAGAACGGGAAGCTACACGGGAAACAACCAAGGCGGTTATTCCAGCGGATATCCGGGTCAGGAAGGACCATATTAAGCTCTTGAGAAACTGTAAATTTTAAGCGGGAATTTTTGGAATATAAAAATTGTATATTAAATTAGCGGTATTAGAAATGCAATACAAGTACGCAAATACCATATTAAACCTTAAGTCTGTACATTTCTTATAAAATCATTTTTGTTTTTAATTATTTTTAAATAATTGCAATCTTAAAATTGTTTATCAAATTGGTGGTATTAAATATTAATTAATAGTTACGTAAATCAACGACTAATGCAATGTAGAAGGACACGAATCTTGTAAATAGAGGCTATTCAGTACAAATAATTATAGTGCTATCCATATAAAACGCTTTTTTTTTAAATATACCATAGTTTTATTATGTATATGTAGTTTCATATTATACGCGATTTATTTAATAAAACTTGTGACAGACGATACACGAAAGTTCAAAACACTGAAACTTAGGAAACCTCTAAATATAAGTCATACATAATAATTTAAAATTAAAAATTTTGTACAACCGACTCCAATATAAATTATTAAGAATAACTCAAAAACTATTGGTCAGACCTTAATCAAATTTATATGGGACCACACAGGACTACATGTGAAGCACCAGCTTTCAAATAAAAAAAGAATCCTCGAAATCGTTTCACTCAGTAAAAAGTTATGAGGTAACACACATAAAAAAGCATACAGTCTAATTGAGTACCTATCGTCTGCTTTTTGAAGTCGGTAGAAAAAGATATAAAAATTAAAAGAATCAAAATTTATAATAATTAAACATAATTATAATAGTATTACATATTAGTACATAATTTATAATAGTTAACACAAATATTAAACTATTGTAATTCTGTTAAAACTTAAAATCTGACCTATTCAATTATTACTAAAAATTGTATTACTTGTACTACATAAAGAACTTCGCTTTTCTGTCACAAGTTATAAAATTGTTTGTTATGGAAGAACATTTTAATGGATTTACATGGCCAGTTTTAAACCTAGGTAAAAAGTTTTTTTTTTTTTAATAACTTTTCGAGCATCTGTCTTAAATCAAACAACTATGCTTTCCTTTTAGTTCTAAACGCTTGTTGACAGTCACAATTGTATAAAAATAAGTACCGGATATATAGATCAGAGGCTTATGTTGGTACACTTAAAATGTATATATGATACCTCCCTATAAAAAAATTATGTTCATGGGCGATGTTAGTCAATATCAGGTGAGCCACATGGTCCTTTGCCTTCTATCTTTAAAAAAAAAAAAAGAATACTCATGTTGTAAATTATCAATATATGATTTTAAATAGGTATTGATTTTTATTTGTTATGTTGTTCTTGAATTCTTTCCATCAGTACAGGTGGACTATTAGGTAATTTTTAACATTAATTTTAGATAAAAAAAACAACAACATTTACAGCAAGGTACCCTTACTTAACGTTATAATGAAAGTAATAGGTTTAATTTTTTTTTTAATGAAACACAATTTTCTTTATACACATTTTAATAACACAAATTAAAATAAATAAGAAAGCATTTAATAATCAGTACAGGTAACATTAAAGCAAATTTGAGTTAAACATAAGAACGAACTAAATCAGTTGTTTACTGTAATTCACGGTAACCTAAAACACACATGCGCATACACTAATAAACTTATGAAAACACGCTTAGGGTTGCCAACGTCTTATATTATGTTGAATATTATATTTGGATGTGATAGAATAAAATTTATACTTTAAAAACTTAAAAGTGGTTCAATAAATTTGACATTCGCAGTAACTTCAAGATAATATCAATTAAATAGTGTAGTGCTGAAAACATCTGCATGTGGATTCTTAACATGACAGATGTAGGTGTTTATGGGCCGCAGCATTCGTGTTCGTTTCTCATTAGTTGTATAACAAAAAACCTTGGCGAAAAAATAAATTAACGTTTAGAATTTATAAATAATTATTTTAAGCAATGGAACAAAAACGCTTTTAAAATCACATATCACCCATCGGAAATATGTGTGGACCTGACAAATGTCATAAATTTTTTTTTAAATATTTATTGAACGCTAATTGACAAGTAAACAACAATAATGCTAATTTAACACCCCGAAATCCTACGTCCTCTTTTCATACATACTAAACATGCAACGAACGTAAAAATTGTAGTTAAATTAATCGGTTATTTTTTTTTTAATAACATAATATATGCTTCTCACAAACAGTTGGCAACCCTAACAATACTATCAATGTTACATTATCTTAGCTGCCACAGCACCTTAAATATCCTATATGAATTTCACATTTACTGACTAGATCATAAGCGAATACTATGTATTAACAAGTTCTAAAATATTTTCGATGTAATTTAAAAAGATTTTTGGGCGAAGCTAATTTTAATCTTTAGAAAATTCTTTATTTAACTTTTAAATATAAACTAAATAAACAATTCGACTTTGTGTCATTTAACATGGATGTTTACTACTCACTAATAGTCTATTCGTTTATAATCTGTCTTCATTGACTTTAAAATAGCGATCTTATTTATAAATTTCTTAAAATATGTAGATTTTGGTAAAAAATCTATCTCTAGACTAGACCCTTTTTACTGGATACGAGGAATTCCAACTTAGTCATCAAGGGGTGACAACGCATCTGCATTTTGATTCTTAATCAAGGATAGTTGTAGATGTCTATGGGTCACAGCAACCACTTTGGTGGGCTGTGTGCTCGCTTGTCACCGTTATTCCATAAAAAACGTTCATCGACATAACAACTGATATAAATAAAACATAAAATTTCCATCAAATTATTTAACTATATAAAAATACAATGATTTTAATAAAATACACATACGCAGATTGTGAACCGATTTTAACGATTCTTTCTTTTTATTAAATAGGCTTTACCTCAAGGGTGGTTCCATTAAATTTTGAAGAAAACATTCCGTACCCAAGGGTGGAAAATATTAAAAAAATTTCATATTGGACTATTGTTTAGGTCATATATCTTCGCAGATTGTGGACCGATTTTCATGATTCTTTTTTATTAAATAGGTTAGACTTCAAGGTTAGTTCCATATACATTTGGAGAAAAAGTTCCAAGTAAACATATGTAAATGAATATCGTATTATACAAACAAAATATTTTTCAGAAACTATTTTGTTTGTTACAAAGTGGTATTATATTTGCTATCTCGAGACTGTCCCGCAGAGTCCAGGAAAATTGGCCTACTCTTAATCCTTATTTTTTTTTATTTATGTAATATTAACAAGGAAAGAAATGTAACAAGGAAGTACTCTATCTAATGGTCAGTGACTACTGAAGTCTATGGACCACCTACCACCAAGTTCAAACAGAAGCCTATTGATGTAGTGTCACCCCTGAGCACCAAGATGAAATTTCTCACAGCCTGACTAACTAACTCAAAACAGATTTCTTTTTAGGTAAAAAAGAATCCAAAAACCTAGTCTATTAGGTCTAGTATAAATTTCAAGTTTTATGAATAAGATCGTTTACATCCAGGACTTTTATAACTTTACCTAGATAATTATTTAGAAATTTACAAATAAATAAATTAGCACGTGTAATTATCAATATATAATTCACCACTTAACATTAGAAAAGTTCATATATTTATACAAAAATGAAAGCTTCTTTCTAAGTCTTTAATATTACTGGCAACACCACAAGTTAAAGTTATTTTAAAGCATTTCACTTTTTTCAGTATTACAGCCCGACCAGATAAAGAAATACCGCCGCCATATTGGGAATATTTGAGAAACTATGTACTTCCTCTTTTTCCAGCAATAACATTTATTTACATACTTACTAGCTACTACATATGTACTTTTTCTAATAAGGATGTATAATAATACAGTGGAATCCGTTTATAATGACATCGAAGGGAAATATCAAACACGTCATACTAAGAGGACGTCATATAAAGCATTTTATAGAAAATTAACAATCTCCGGTTTTTGTTACTAAGTATGTATTTATTTTAATAGAGAAAAATCTTTAATTAAAGTAACTTAAATTCTTAATAATAAATTCTTGTTTTTAAAAATCATTGAGATTGTCGAGTGACCAACCCCAAATTCCCTAGCGAGAGATGAGTTGGATTGACGTTGAGATTTCATTTTTTTTCACAATACACTAACAAACAATGCCGTGACCTTCAACAATCAATTACCCAACTCTCAAAACAAAAACAAAAGCCATGCGCGCCGAACGTTCTCGGGTATCAATTGTCTCTCCTGAACACTGCCGAAGGTGTTAGGAATCATGTCGGTCACTATAACCGGCCACAATTTAGTAAAAATGGGTCACAATAAGCGACATGTCACTATAAGCGAAGTCATTATATCCGACTTTATTATAAAGAATTTTGTATGAAAACCAAACTCCGCTGGTAATTACGTCATAATAAGCGGTTGGTCAATATAAGTGAAGTCATAATAAACGGATTCTACTGTATATGCAATAATATCCATCTCCCTCGCCCATTTTCTTATCATGCCACGAAAGAAATTTTATTTTAAATGACGCTTCATTTTAATAGACGCTAATAATTCATTTATTTGTATTTGTTAATCAATAATATAATACGTTTAACCTCGTTCCAACCAAATGTTCCACGACAATCACGCATGTTTTTTTTAATACATTTGAACTATTTTTAATTCTTCTAGTTTTAGATATAATTATACGTAGTTTGGTTTATCCATTTTTAATCTAATTAATACAAAACATAACTAATATTTCAGTAAGAAACGTTAATCTTTAAACTTTTATAACAATTTAACTTCCTCGCATACCAAAATGGCGCCGTCCTGGTGGCAAAAAAGTTTTTTTTTTATGTAGGTTAAGAGTGACAAACGAGCACACAGTCCACCTGATGGTAAGTGTTTGCTTCGGCCCATAGACATCAACATCTATCCTCTATTACAATTCAAAATATAGATGCGTTGTCACCCGTGAGGGCTAAGATAGAATGCCCGATTTCCAGTAAAAAGGGTCTCAAAAGTTGTGCA